GTAGCAAAGCAGATACCTGAACAGGCGAAAAGGAAAATCCCCAGGTGCCGGTATACAAACATGGAAGTGAAAAGCAGGGTGACGGGTAAGCAGGCAGGCCGAGGGCGGGGAGCTTGGGTATGGGGGCCAGGCCTGGGTTCATCCCTAACACTAAGAGTCTTCAAGCGTGGTGGCCACCTGCAGGGCGGGAAAATGAGGCATGGGTCTCCGGAGGGCCGGGAGAGAACTGGGATCCTGTATGAAGGCTGCACGTCCAGTGAAAAGGAGGCTGGTGCAGGAGGTGCCATACGCCAGCAGGGAGCAGCAGGTGCAGCGGGAGGTGCCAAGAAAAGCTGAGCACATGCCCGGCCCGGCCAGACTGCCCAGACCCGAGATTATCACTTAGACCCAGCGGGGAAATTGGAAGGCTCAGCAGCAAAGTTAAGGTCAAAATTCTGTTGGACTCACAGCTGGTGCACTGGCAGTCGGATCCGGGGCCCAAGATCACCCTAGATTACCCCCCAACCAGTGAGGGAGCTGGGCCTATGCTTCCCAAGGTTTCCACCAAGAACTCCTAAGGCAGAACAGCTACCTCTGGAGAGGCCCAGAGGGAAAGGTCTGAAGCTATTCATGGAACGCCAGATTTCTTTAAAGACTCAATTTTCCTTTTCAAATATGTAAGACTCTTGCATTGCAACCAAAACAAACTAAATTGATGACAAGGTTTCCAGTGGTCAGAGGGACGCCTCATACCCCAAGTTACACGGGTCCCAATTTGAAAACCACAGATGAGGGAGGGCTTCAGAGACAACACAGGAGCCGTGGTGGAGGTGAGCTGAGAGGCAGACCCGCAATCAAAAGCTCAGAAGGGGTCTCCAGTAAGAAGAGGTGAGGCCGGGCAAGAGGAGAGTCACACAGTTTGCATATGGGTTGGTAAAAGCTTGCTCGGCCGGGCAATGCATCCTTAGGGAGGGAAACGCTATCTACTCTTTGACATTTTATAAATCAAGTCTGGCGAATTTTAACCTATGAACTTATCTAAAACCCCTTGAACTGATTTAAATTTCCACCCTCTAAATTAATTTCTATTCAGACCCCACTTACTTATATACACCAAAAACAGCAAAAAATAAATACATAAATAATAACCTTGTGATTGTATAGAACACATTTTCAGCCATTCTGTGCATAGTTTATTGAATAAATAAAAACTTTATTGGGTTGGTTTTTAAAAACCTATAAACAATATAGTTTCATCTTTGTTTGATCACTTAAAATATACAACTTTATGTAACCAAAATGCTTAAAGGATTTTGTTCACTGAGTGTTGACTGTTTATACCTACACATATGAAAATCTGACCTGTCAAAACCGGTTTTGCAGTAGCCGTATTTGAGATATGTGTGGATTTCTATAAAGATTGACTCTTAAGATTAGGAGATGTAATATAACACCTAGATACTAAGGGAAAAAATGATTTTGCAACCTCAAGTTGGGACTTACACAAGAAATCCCTGTGGTGTTTACAAAGTTTAAAATTCTATTGAGTATGTTTATTTTTCAAAATAAAACAGGCTAAGTAAATAACTAACATCAGTACCTCGACGACTTCTAGAAACAGCTAAGCTATACTTTACAGCTATAAGAACGTGGTGTTTGTATTTCCCTGAGTGCGTAGTTTGCTTTGAGTTCAAGGGCACGGTGTACGTGTGTGTTTCCTGAAGCCACTGAGATTGGAAGAGATGACAGCTAAGAACGTGAACCTGCTGGTGTTGTGACGAGCTTAGCTCGCTGCTGTTTGAGATCAGCCTTGGCAACCAGGGTCCCTTAGCCTCATCTGCAGATTCTGCTCCACCAAAGCTCTGGGCCACCTTCTCTCTAGGACAGGAGACCCAGCTGAGCAGCACAGAGGCCCCACAGCAAGTGGGCCCAAATGCTGGGCCTGCTCCAACTTGTGCCTCTGCTCTAAAAAGTGGATTCCTTCCTTATTTCCTTGCCTGGAATTCTCCCTTACCCTTCTTGGGACTAGAGGCAAGCTCACAAACTCCAGGGCCCCTCAAATCATTTTCCAGACCTGCGTCCTTGGCACCTGACCTCCTCCTACTCCATCTGTGTCTTCCCTGCCTAGAGTGCTCCATCCACTCCCAGGATCTGCCTTAACATCCAGTCTGCTGTGCTGGAACACCCTGCCACGTCCTGCCTGAGTCTGAGGGCTCTTTGTCTCTGGGTTAATTCCCAGCTTGGCTTTCTCCCAACTGATGGTGTGGGTGATAACAGTTACCTTCCTGCAAATGTGTTTGTCTTTATTTCTTGGAATGGATTTCAGATTTTAGAAGCTCTCATCCCTGGCAAGTGCCTAGAAACTAAAATCCCGATGACTATACTTAAGTTTCCCCCAAATGACTTGAACTTTCTTTCTCTAAGAGCTACAGACTGGCTTTGAGTTCAAGGGCAGCTTCAAATACAGAACCCTGGATCCTCTAAATAGGGGTATCTGTTCCCTACCCCATGCCATCATTAGGAGTCTCTATTTCTTGAGTGCCAGCTACATGAAATTTTCCACGGTTCACCTGCATGTCTGGTACCGTCAGAAATCACAAAGACCGCTTCCCTGATTTATGTAGGTATTCTGAAGTAGTCCAAAAACTTGGGTCCTACATTTAGAATCAGGCTTAGAGCACAGAAATCCCAAATCCTCACTTTCCCAGTACAGGACTGACCTATACTGACCTAACTCAGTACAGGGTTGACGTGTTGACGGGCTCGAAGTTTGCCAATAGGTCCTATCAAAGGCCTGCCATCCACTCCCTGACAAGGAGCGCTCTCTTTTTGAGGGGAGGCTCCCTGTGTGTGCCAACATGGCTGTCGCTGGATTTCTTCTCCAGAAGTTCCTCCCTGCAATAGTGTTTGGAGCAGCACTGATTTTTTTCCTGTAGTTCACAAATGGTTCTGGTGGCGACCTCAGAAAGACAAACATGTAAGCAGTGGCCACTGGGTGACTTTACTGCTTACCACCTTGACCCCTTGAAAGGCAACCGAGACCTGGATCCAGCCTCATAACTTCATATGATCTAATTTTAGCTAACTGGACGAAAAGAAAAACAAGAATATAACTAGTGGCCTATTTATCCGTATTGAGTGTCTGGCATGGAGATTTGCCATTCATTGGTGTCCTCAAGGCTTGAAAAATATGAAGAACTCCATGAACGTTTGCTGAACTGACCTAGATTACACTGCTTCCATTGGGAGCTTTGTGGTGATTATTATAGTGCTCATGAGTAAGTGATAGTTTGTCTTAAATTTCCACAAATATGCTTATATTGCCCTGTCTTACTTTTCACAGCAGAGAGCTGAACTGTCATGCCTGTAAGGCACAGAGCCTTTCACACACCAATATACATTTATATTTATCTTCAACAATCTGGCATATAAACAGAAATCTCACCTGTAAGTTTCCAAGGGTTTAAAATCTGTTTCAGATATTAGCTTCTAACCATGACTTTTTAATGAAAATTAAATTCACTATCAACTCCACTACTCTAACTTCCCAAACTGCTGAGAGGAACAAGCCACTCTGGCTATGAAATAAACTCTATAAAGAGAACTGAAATCATATGATGAAAATAAAGTCCATTGGGTAATGCAGTCACTATGTTGCTATCATTGTTGCTTTTGAAATACAGCATATGAAACAGGATCTCTTAACCTGTTTCTCCAGTCTGGGGATTAGAAGGAATTTCCAGTGAGCTTATTTGAGAGCTCTGACTCTTACAGTGAAGGACAGATTCTGTGCTTTAAGTCACAGTTGAGCTACACTGATCAAAAAACCAAGTCAAAGTGCTTTTTAAGAAGTCCTGAAAACTAAGGTTTCAGGAAGATGGGGTATCAGGAACATGGATCTAAATCACTGTCTAAAAACTAGCAAGTGTATCTGTCGTTCCTGCGGAGGCCATCTGTGTTCAGGGGTTTACTTTTTAAATAAAACAGTAGTTTGAGTCTCCAGAAACATGTTTGCTACATTACAGTATGACTGGTGGACGCTAAGAAGCCAGGGCAGCAGACCACGCTAAAGGATGCTAAAGGGACAATTCTGTCTGGCAATGACAGTTCTGGTCCAAAATGGGCCATCTTATGATCATTAAAAATAAAAAAAAAAGGCCAGCCGCGGTGGCTCATGCCTGCAATCCCAGCACTTTGGGAGGCTGAGGTGCGTGGATCATGAGGTCAGGAGTTCAAGACCAGCCTGGGCAAGGTGGTGAAACACTGTCTCTACTAAAACTACAAAATTTAGCTGGGCACGGTAGCAGGTGTCTGTAATCCCAGCTACTCGGGAGGCTGAGGCAGAAGAATCACTTGAACCCGGGAGGCAGAGGTTGCAGTGAGCCAAGATCATGCTACTGCCCTCCAGCCTGGGTGACAGAGTGAGACTCTGTCTCAAAAAAAAGGCTTTTGATGAGAGGAGGACAGAACACAAGTATTTCATCTCTTTCAAAGCAAACAGGCCTTCCCAAGCCCATCCCCTCAGACCTTTCAAGTGGAAGAAACTGTGAGTTGTTCTTGACAAGGAGCCCAAATGACTCCTTGGTTTAAATTTCGGTAAAGGAGGGGCATGAGGGGGGATGCAGAATAAGAAAAGGAAAGAAAACAGGAAGCACCTTTATTTCCCTGCCTTGCTGAGTGAATCTTTTAGCAGACTTGCCGAAAGAAACGAGCCAGATTTGTTGTTGTTGTTGTTTTGTTTTTGAAACAAGAGTTTCACTTTTGTCACCCACGCTGCAGTGCAGTGGCACAATCTCGGCTCACTGCAACCTCCACCTCCCAAGTTCAAGTGATTCTCCTGCCTCAGCCTCCCGAGTAGCTGGGATTACAGGTGCCTGCCACTGCACCTGGCTAATATTTCTATTTTTAGTAGAGATGGGGGGGGGAGTATCACCATGCTGACCAGGCTGGTCAGGTGATCCCCCCGAGTTAGCCTCCGAAAGTGCTGGGATTACAGGCGTGAGTCACCACGCTCAGCATGAACCAGGTTTGGTTTTTGGCTTTTGGTTTTTCCTGCTCTGAGATAGGCAGCATGATGGAAAGAGCATTGACTCCAAAGCTGAAAGACCTTGGTTTTAGACTCCTGGGGTAGGTACTTGCTGAGTGACCAGAGGACACCACTTAGCCTTCGTGAACTCAGTTCCCTCACCGAAGGCACCAGAAGTGATAAAAGCCAGTCACCAGGTTGAATGAACGGATAGAAGGAAGCGCCTGGCACAGAGCTGGCATAGGGTAGGTGGGTCCTGAGATGCTATTACTCTTCCTCACCTCCCCTTCTGAGGTAGGTCATGCAAACATTTCTAGCTGGTCTCAAGTGTCCGCAGACTGCAACTTCCAAGATTCCCCCAAAGTGAGCTCCCGCTGTACGGCCTCCAGCTCGAGGCTGCTGCCTGCAGTGGGGCTGGAGGAGGGTAAGCAGAGAGGCGGGCGCGCTGAGGATCCGAGCTGCTCCCCATCCTGCGCTCAGACAGACACCGCTCCAGGCACGATCCTGCGGATGTGAGTGTACGACTTCCTGATGGTGACACTGCCGTGGTGCGACACGCCCCGGGGCAGGACGCACTCCTCCGTCAGCCTCTGGGTCTCGGGGTCCCAGCACAGCACGGTGGCGATGACCTCGTTCTTCTCGTCCCTCCCGCCGGTGATGTAGAGCCGGTTGTTACAGGGCGCGATGCCGCAGCTGGCCCGCTCGTGGCTGAGCTGGGTCACCAGGCACCAGCTGTCTTCCAGGGGGCTGTAGGCATACAGCGCTCTCATGGCTCCACCTGAGGACAGGGAGGGAACACGTGGGCATCCCTCCAGTTTCTGCTTTCTTCGTTCTGAACCACTAAAACTCAGCTTCTGGTTAGGCCATGTCTCCCCTCTTCCCAAGAGAAACAGTAGATTGATGGCTCCTCTGAAAACCAGAGTGGGTCCCAGGGGCAGTGAGTGGCCAGCGCTGGAGACACTGTGACACACCCTTTCTGTGCTGCAGCCAGGCTCTAAGCTATGCAGATGAATAAGAAGCCCTTACTCACCAACAACGTAGATGCGGTCCCGGAAACTCACTGCATTGATGCATTTCGCCTCCACCGGCATGGCCGCCTTCAGATTCCACTTGTTGGTTGAGGGGTCATAACACTGAGTCTTGTCTGTGGCCAGTTTCCCGTTGGGCCCTCCCCCAATCACGTAGAGCTTCTTCTTATGGCTGGTGGCTGCAAAGGAGCTGACGTGGACAAGGAGGGGTGCGGCCTGCGGGGCACAGGGCACAAGCAGCAGCTGTCAGTCCCGCTGCCCAGGTTGCTGCAGCAGCGCCCAGGTGCAGACGGAGCTCCGGGACACAGAACGGGGCAGCTTTTGCCTAAAGTCACAAGGCCCATGCACTTCACTCTTAAGACTCAGCGAGAATGAAAGCATGCATTTCCCGCCCTCCCTCCAGGCTCCACACAATCTAGAGTCAGCTGTGTGCTGGGATGTGCCAGCCTCTCCCAGAGTCCAGCTCTCAGGTAAGGAAGAGGATAGGCAAGAATAAGTTTATACAGATGAAGTCAGCCAATGTCGGAGGAAAATGTTTGTTTTTTTTTTTTTTTGAGACAGCATTTAGCTCTTGATGCCCAGGCTGGAGTGCAATGGGGTAATCACAGCTCACTGTAACCTTCACCTCCCGGGTTCAAGCAATTCTGCCTCAGCCTACCAAGTAGCTGGGAATACAGGCATGAGCCACCACGCCCAGCTAATTTTGTATTTTTAATAGAGACAGGGTTTTTCCATGTTGATCAGGCTGGAGTCTAACTCCCGTCCTCAGGTGATCCGGCTGCCTCAGCCTCCCAAAGTGTCAGGATTACATGCATGAACCACCATGCCCAGCCCAGGAAAATGATTTTTTTATACATGCATGTTCATATTCATTCATGTGCTCATCCACTCAAAAAATATTTATGGAGTGCCTACTGTGTACCAGCATTGATTTTCCTTGGTGCTTATGTCTAGGAAGAAAAGCTGACATATGGGTTTAAGGCGGCCACAGGTAAGCGGGCTCTTCCGCTACAGGGCAACAGGGAGGCTTCTGAGATTAAGGCAGACATGTGCTTCTACCCTGGGAACCCCTGGACACTAAAGGAGCCTCTTGCCCAGCTACATGACCCTTTCGATCATGGAGCAGCTCTGGGATAGGACTTGTTTTGAGAAGATCTTGGACAGGTCCCCGCAGATGCTAAGAGCTCTCCATATAGCACTTTTCAGGCTGACAGTCTTGGCTACTTGATGTGGTGACCTGGCTGCCTCTGCTTGTGCCTACAATGACGGTGTTGTACTCTCCATTAAGCGGGGACATGCTCGGACATCTGATTTGATAAGGAGAAAGAAAATTGGAAATTGGGAATAACCTGGAAATGAGATCAGGCGGCTTTTCTTTTCCTGGTGTGATATATACCTGAGGTTGTGCTGCTGAAGTCTGACATGCAGGCCTGTAAGCGGCCCTTCATGGATGAGAAAATAACGAGGGGATGATTTTGAACATAACTCTGAGTTCGCAAATGGTGTCATAAAGTGATCTGCACGTGTCCAGTGTGGAGAGAATAGGAGAGAAGGCATCTGAGGGGACAGGACCCTAGGCCGGGACATGCAGACCAAGAGAGCTGCCATGCACGACAGCGTGAGCCTCCGCCCACATCTGGGGCTCTGGCCGGATTAGGACAGGTGCCCACACAGACCTTCACCACCTGGAAGACATTGTTTCTGTGACTTAATCAGCAAAAAGCATGGGCTTCCAGGAGGAGAGAAGTTCAGAGCCACCAAAAATGTTCTCCTCAGAAGTAATGTGATCAGAAAGCTGGCCCCCACTGCAGGTACATTCCCAGGCTTCTTTTTTTAAAAAATCAAAACACTGAAGTAATAATACAGACAGTTAGTCGTAGAAATCATCTCCTGGCCGGGCATGATACCTCATGCCTGTAATCCCAGCACTTTGGGAGGCCAAGGCGGGCAGATCACGAGGTCAAGAGATCAAAACCAGCCTGGCCAATATGGTGAAATCCCATCTCTACTGAAAATATAAAAATTAGCTGGGTGTGGTCCTGGGCGCCTATAGTCCCAGCTACTCAGGAGGCTGAGACAGGAGAATCACTTGAACCTGGGAGGCAGAGGTTGCCATGAGCCAAGATCGTGCCACTGCACTCCAGCTTGGGCAACAGAGTGAGACTCCCTCTCAAAAAAAAAAAAAAAGAAAGAAAGAAAGAGAGAGAGAAAAGGAAAAAGAAGTCATCTCCTGTACCTCCGACCAGCAGTTGTGAAAGGGGTCATAGGTCTCCACGTTGTTGATTCTCTGTAAGCCGTCAAAGCCTCCGATCACATAGACCTTACCGCCCAGCACTACCATCTTATGCCTCCAGCGGCCTATGTTTAAATACTCGATCTGAATCCATTTGTTGATCGAAGAATTATATTTCCAAACATCATGCTGTGTTTCTTTGCCACCTGCAAGAGATAAAAAGCATTTAAGAGACCACCAGATGTGTCAGAAATACAGCATCTCCCATAATATCCTGCATGTCCAAAAATGCCAGGTGCCTAGGCCAGTCCCACCTTGAGGGGAGATCAAAGCAGCCCCAAAGGTATGTGCGGTCTGGTGGGGGAGACAAGGCAAACACAGGGGGACAGCGAGGGACAGAATGCATTGTGCACCCCACGGGGCCCTGTGCCACCTCAGTGCAGGCAAAGTTCAGAGAAGCGGTGGCAAAGGGAGCAGTGTCCCAGGAAGGCTTCAGAGGGCAGGCCCCGAGTCAGCCTGGGTGGGTAGGGGCTCGAGGGAGCCTGGGCTCAGCATTTGTGCTCACAAGCAGCAGGAAGTAAGGCTGGGCAGGGACGGTGGGCTTTGTCCAGAAGGCAAATTATATGGCAGGTTAAGGTCTATGATGACTTATTTATTTAAACAAAAAAGCAAAGATATAGACCTGGAAAAATCACCAAGAAATCGTACCACAGTCTCTTGGTTTGTCTTTCTGATCTATATAAAAAGATCAGTGGGACTTGTCCTATTTCCAAATTAATTTTTGTTAGAAAAGTATGAGATGCTCACAACAGATCATTTGAGAGCGGCCTGGTAAATATTTTCTTGAAGACAGCTCTCTTAAAAAACATAAAATACGTTAATTCGGCAGCTGGGGAAAGAGACAAAGAAAAGGGAGAACTGACTTTTTCTGATTTTAATCAACTATTTCACAGCTCTGTTTTTCCATTTTCCCATAGAGTACCACCAACTACTGGAAGCAAAGATTTACTTTGCAGACATACACGTGTGCAGCAGTGCAGAAATGACTATTGCTGACCAGACTCTGTGTTGGGGTGTTTCTCTGGTGTGGAGCCTGGAAGCGGATTTTCTACGTCGAAGGCATGTGCACCTCAACTTTATAGGTGTAACCAAAGCACCTCCACAGATGTGCTGGTCGACTTTTCCTCATACCCACTTTTTGTGGGTGGTGGTGGTTTTGTTTTCTGCCTTAAAAAAATTTTTTTTTAACAGTCTGACAGAGAAAAACTATGTCCGTTTGGTTTTTTCTCACGACAAGGGAGGCTGAGCTTCCTCTTCCATGAGTCTTCTGTTCACAGAGTTTGGCCATTTTTCTTTGCATGGGGCACCTTTTAGAGGTCTCCATTTATTCAAAACACTGTGATACTGATCCCATTTAGGTAGCATCAAAAAGTATAAAATAACTATAAAATTTCAAAGAAACGTATGCAACCTTTGTAAAAGAAAAAGAAAAAAACCTATGATTTTATATTAGGACAAGAAAAAAACCTGAGAGAGCGTATTGTGTGCATAAATAAGAAGATACATTATTGTGAAGATGTCAGCCCTCCCTAGTTTAATCTATATACACAGCGCCTTCAGGACTTTTGGGGGAAACTGGATGAGATAATTTTAAATTTCACTGGGAAGATCAAGTTTGGAAAAATTTCTAAGAAACTTTTGAAAAAGAAAAGCCAAGAAATATTAAAATATACTAAATATTAAAGTATATTAAAATGCTATTATAATACAAACAGTGTGGTACTAGATAAACTGATAAGAGCATAGAACTGACTAAAAAATATACAGATCATTAAATAAATGTTATTAGAACAATTGGTTATTCATTTGGATGAAAATTAAGTTAGATACTTACTTTACATTACATTTAAAGTAAAATTCAAATGTTACTGCTATAGAAGTAACTGGAGAGTATATAGGAGATTACGTTAATGACCTTGGGGTTACAAGGGGTTTCTAAGCATAGCAGGAAACGTAGAATTGTATAGGAAAGAAAACTATATAAATACAAAGTTAAAAAACCACCACAGTCTAGGAGAAAATATTCACAACACAAATAGCAAACGATAAATAGTAAGAGCTCCAAAAAGTTAGTAAGAAAAAGACAAAAATCTGATAGAAACTGTCGAAGGATATGAACAGATAATTTTAAAAATAAATACAATTATCTGGTAAATATATAAAACATGCTCAACCTCACTGATGACGCAGGAATGTAAATGTAAACATTCTAGTCTATTAAAAATGTAAATGAGTAATAATAAAAACCGTTACCAAGGATAAAGAACATGGGCACCACCATTCATCACGGATTGAACTGTAAATTGGTACGACTTTTCTGCAGGACAATTTTGCAGCATATACAAAATTACCAGTTCACATATGACCACTTCCAGGAAACTTTCCAGTAGCAGCACAAGTATGAAAAAATATGTGTGTCTAAGAATGCCTACTGCAGTATTTTTTAAAGAGATTTTTAAAAGAAAGCTGAAACAATTATGTTTGGCAGACTTCGATATAGCTGGTAAAAAGAGTATCAGTAGTGGCGATGCCGGCCAGTGTAATGAAGCTCCCACCACGTGCTTGGCAGGGCGCTGTGCTTGGCATGTGGTGACTATCTCACTCAACATGTATATCCATTAAACCAACATGCCATCAGGTCTAGATTATACTGTTAACTGAAGTACAAGTTTCTGTTTATTTAACTGTGTATAACAAGCATGCTTTCAGGTTCTGCTTGTATCATTAAAAAGTGAACAACACATTTCTGACAAAAGAATAACACGTGGGTCGGATGCAGTGGCTGACGCCTGTAATCCCAGCACTTTGGGAGGCTGAGGCGGGCGGATCACCTGAGATCAGGAGTTCTGGACCAGCCTGGCTAACATGATGAAAGCCCATCTCTACCTAAAATACAAAAAAATTGGGCCACGCACAGCGGTTCAATTTATAGTAATCCCAGCACTTTGGGAGAGTGAGGTGTGGGTGGATCACCTGAAGTCAGGACTTTGAGACCAGCCTGGCCAACATGGTAAAACCCCCTCTCTACCAAAAATACAAAAATGAGTCAGGCATGGTGACACATGCCTATAATCCCAGCTACTCGGGAGGCTGAGGCACTTGAACCTGAGAGGTGGAGGTTGTAGCGAGCCGAGATCACACCACTGCACTCCAGCCTGGACGACAGTGAGACTCCATCTCAAAAAAAAAAAAAAAAAAAAAAGAATAGCAGGTGTAGTATATGTGTCAAAGACTGGCTCTGATGACCACACCTGTTGATCCCTCCTGGGCACATAGATAAACTACATTTCCCAGCCTCCTGTGCCCGGAGCGGGCAGGGGAGGGCAAGGGAGGGCATGCTGCTAGTTTTTGCCAGTGGAAAGTGAGTGGAAGAGACGGCACTTCCAGGCTGAGGCTTTTATGAGCAGCTGTGACTTCTCAACTCGCCCAGCTTCTTTCTCATCCCCGAATTGAGGCCACGTGTAGGAAGAGGCAGTGTCACAAGCAGACAGGACCCTAGGCCTCGGAGTGTCGGAGTGGAGCCGACTGTCCTCCCCGCAACCCCTGCATACTACTGCGTTTATTCACTGAGACTCAGGATTCATTACAGCAGCTAAAGTATTTACCCTGTGAAAACAGAAAACCATTTTTGTGCAAAATGAAAACCCACAGCATTGTGATGGCACAGAACTGCTGGGTTTTACTTTACCTCCTCCGTACTGTTTGGATCTTCTACAATAATTTAAAAAATATTTCTACAAGATGAAAAGAAAACTAGAGCCTAACGAATGGTATGAATGCATCGGAAGAACGACCCGCCCTTGGTTTTGGAGGATGCACGCTCTGGGATGCCCCTTTCCCCACAACAAGTTCAGATCCAGAGAGGCCTCTAAGAGAGGGGAAGGGACGCTTGTCTCCTTCCTTAGGGTCCCAGGAGGAGCCAGGTGGCTTTTGATGTGATGGGGAGAGCATGGAAGTTAGACTCAGAACTTGGGTTGAAGTCCCGCCTGACACCTACCAGTGTGCGACCCTAGGTATGTCGGAGAATCCCTCTGAGCCTCTGTTTGCGCCTATCTTAACACCTACCTTACAGAGTTGATGTGAGAGGTAAACAATTAAATGTTATTTAAGTTTAAACGTACCTACCACTCAGCAAAGACGGTTGAAACTGTGTCACTCAATAAATATTTACTGGACATGTACCCTGCGGTCAGGCACAGTGTACAGAGGCTAGTGTTGATGGTCACAAAACTTCCAGTCTAATGGGAAAGGCGGGCATAAAGTCACCGTCAATACTTAAGCAAACATGTTCCTAATGAAAAAGCATTGGGTCCTGCTGAAGTATACCCAATTACAGCCTAATTGACATAGGAGGGGTCCGGTTTGGGGGAAGAGCAGATGTGTTTACTCGTTACTGAATTCCCACTGTGTAGCTCAGGGACCTGTGCCCATAGCAGACACTGAATAAACCCCTGATCACTTTCCCTCTTCTTTTTCTGTGAAGGACTAGACTTGTCTGCCTCCTCTCCAGGTTTTCTATTAATAGTACCACCCTAGCTGGGCGAGGTGGCTCACGCCTATAATCCCAGCACTATGGGAGGCCAAGGTGGGTGGATATCCTGCGGTCCGGAGTTCAAGAACAGCCTGGCCAACAAGGTGAAACCCATCTCTACTAAAAATACAAAAATTAGCTGGGCATGGTGGCAGGTGCCTGTCATCCCAGCTACTTGGGAGGCTGAGGCAGGAGAATTGCTTGAATCGGGGAGTTGGAGGTTGCAGCTAGTCAGGATCGCACCACTGCACTTCAGCCTGGGGGACAGAGCAAGATTCCATCTCAAAAAAAAAAAAAAAAAAAAAAAAGAAAGAAAGAAAAAGAAAAAGAAAAAAAATAGTGCAACGCTGCTCACAGTTTAGTGTTTACTGAGTAGCAGTGTGCCCTCAAGATAAGACCACCTGAGCTCCTGGGTCCAGATCCCGTCTTACTCAGCGCCAGATCATCGCCAAGTCACAGTCATTCTTCCAGGATGGTTGCCACCCAGCAACATACATAGTGCTACTGGGGGCTGGCTTTGGCTTCACGTGGCTCCTGCTTACCTGAGATGTAGACCTCATTTTTCAATGTCACGCATGCAAACTCCACCCACTTCTTATTCTCACTCTCCAGCTCATGCTCCGTTAGCGGGAGCTTGGCCACCTCCAGGCGGCTGCGCCTCAGGGGGTCCAGGCAGGTCACCTCTGCCACAAACCGTTCATCCTTTGTGCAGCCGCCAATGATCATGAACACCTCGGACTGGAACTCGTGCATCCTGGGCTTGGTGCGCTCCGAAATGATCTGGAAATCAATAGGGGTTCATAAAGGCAGGACAACACAATGGTTCAGAGCTCAGGCCACAAAGCCAATAGGAGCAGGCCCCAATTCCCACACCTGCCACAGCATGACCACGTGACCTCACCTCCCTGAGCCTCGGTTTCATCATCTGTATCATGCAGTATTAGAGGTAACTACCTCATAGGTGTGTTTCCAGGATGAAGTGGGATAATGTATGTAGTGTGCTTCACTCAGGGCCTGGTACATAATAGGTGCTCAATAAATGTTACCTGTTTTTGTTGCTGTATTAATAGGTCGGGGTCTATACCATCAGAGGCACTTCCTGCCTCTCCTCTCCTGCCTGGTCTGAAACCTTAAATCCTGGAATTTCATTTTGGACTTTCCCCCTTGCCTTTAATTTCTTGATGAGATCTCAGACTTTGCTCCCCATCAGTCTTCTGCATGAGACATCCTGGACAGTGACACATAGAGCACTCAGAGACTCAGGAAACAAGAACTAGAAGGAATCAGGGTGTGGCCAGGGAGGCAGAAGACTGGTTCCAGCACACGGTGTATGACCTCACAGAGCTTCCAACAAGTGAAGAAGTCCATGCTATGGGCATTTGGACCCCGCCGAAAGAGCACAGGCTTGCAAGGCAAAGGTACCCGGGTCCTATCACTGATGGCCATGTGGCCTTGGAGAAGCAGCACAACCTCTGTAAACTGCTTGTTCATTTCTCTGCTCTCAGATGATTGTGAGCATTCATAAGGTCATGAGGTGGAGGTGTGAGCAGAGCACCCAGCACATACTCGCTCCTCAGCAGTCATGCCTGTAGGAGCAGTGGCAGGTGCCATCTTGATAATTGCTCTAAAAGGAAGAACTGCCCTTTCCTGGTTCCATTGGCCCCCTGGGCTCCATGGTGAAGGTTCCATAGGAGTGCTGATGGGAGGCAGAGAGGCAGCCACCATTTCCCAGATGGCCAGAGTCACCCATTTCCCTACAAAATTAGGCTGATCTAACGCAGACTACAGAACTTCGATTTTGCCTACAGGTGGTAACAAGTAGGTCACAGTAGCCAACACTGAGCCCTCAAGTAGTGAATGAAACCTGGAGACACAAATCATCAGACCAGCCGACTCCCAGCCTCGACTTCTCTGTAACAGTCTTTGTTCGGTTGGTCGGCTTTCTGTGCCTCAGAGCCTGGTACAGTGAATTTTGCATCCTCCGTTCTTGAGGCTGGACCATGGCCATAACATCTGTGGCGGCTATTCCTTACAGGTCAGCAGAGTGGCGGTGGGTGTGGCTGGGGGACAAAGCCTAGGCAATGGACTGGGTGAGGGTGTGGGCAGCAGAACGGTACTGGGGGAAGAGTGGAGGGGTGGGCCGGGGAAGCTGGAGGCACCATGAGAGCACCAAGCTGGCAGGACAAGGTCTGGGCAGTGGCACCACAGCCAAGCGTTGCTGCTCTGCAACTTTCTCTCCAGCTGTCAGCCCTGGTTCCTGTCCCTAAACCCCATGCCCCACAGCCGAGGCACAGCCTCCGGCACCAGTCTGGTCCTCTTTTAGAGGGGATTTAGGTGTTGCAGGCAACGCTTTGAGAACAGCACGGGCCTCCCAGAATGGATTCCCTTGTGACCCTTTCTTCCATTCTGGGAACCAGGTCTCGGCCTTCACCCCGAAGCTTCCCCCATCTTATTTGCCATGCCTGCTCTCCTGCCCCAGTACCCTGTTGGGTGATTGAGAGGCCACTAGGAGAACTGGACTAGCCATGATCTTACCTCTGACCCCCAGGGCTGGCACCTTGCTCCTTGGTCCTGCTCTCTTCCTACTGACTGAAATCTCGGTTCCTGCCTGCTGCCTGGATCTCCCCATAATATTCTATTCTCAGTTCCCCCAACTACCACCCCAATCCACTTACCCTTTAAGGTATGGTGAGTAATTTACCATGTAACACTTTGTCCCTTTCTCCAGGAAGTCATTCCTAACTTTGCACACATTCCCATAACCCTGAATAGTGCCCACAACGGCACTATTCGTGCTTTATTGTAATTTACTGTAAGACCCTGATGGCAGGAACGGCCCTTTTTCTCCAGTGGATCCTCAGCACCAAGAATAGTACCTGGAGCTTGTGGACGTCTATAAACATTGATTAAACGAGTGAATGAGCTGGGTGCAGTGGCTCATGCCTGTAATCCCAGCACTTTGGGAGGTCAAGGTGGGTGGATCACTGAGGTCAGGAGTTCAAGACCAGCCTAGCCAACATGGTGAAACCCCGTCTCTACTAAAAAATTTAAAAAAAAATTTTTTTAATTAGCTGGGTGTTATGGGCACCTGTAATTCCACCTACTCAGGAGGCCGAGGCAGAAGGATCTCTTGAACTCAGGAGGCAGAGGCTGTGGTGAGCTGAGGTCACACCATTTTGCACTCCAGCCTAGGCAATAAGAGCGAAACTCCATCTCAAAAAACAAAACAAAACAAAGAGTGAATGGAGGAGTGAATGAATGGGCAGGCGAGGCAACTCCGTCTAAACTGTTGTAGTGAGCACCCACAGCGGCCCGCAGTGACCCTGCTTCCTGGTATTCACATCTCGTGTAGTTCCCTCCACGCTGTTCTAGAATCGGTCTCTATAATCAGCACATCACAGAAGAGGTGGTGATATATCACTTCTGAAGGGAGGCTGTAACCGGCACTTCCAGCTTGCATCCGGGTTACTCTTGCCGTCTTCTTAGATCACTTGTTCTGGGGGAGGCAGGCTGTTAAGATGCCCATGTGGCAAGAAACTGAGGCTGCCAGCCAGCAGCCAGCAAGGATCTGATGCCTGCCAACAGTCCAGTGAGTGAGCTTGAATCCCACTGGAACTTTAGATTACTGCAGCCCCAGCCAACAGTTTTACTGCAACTTCCTAAGAGACCCTGAGCCAGAAGCACCCTGCTAAACCACTCCTAGATTCCTGACACTCAGAGCCTGTTAGATAGTAAGTGTTTGTTATTTTAAACTTTTCAGTTTGGGGGTAATTTGTTATGCAGCAATTGATAACTAACAATCATCTAAGCTGATGGGCTTGGCTGGGGTAATGAGACTGCCTTAGAACTCTGCACCACAGAACTGCCAAGTGGTGGCACCATCACCACATTGTAAGTTCAGCTCCATCTGGCAAAATATTAACCCCAAAGTCATGACAAACGTCAATCTAAAGCCTGAGACGTGCCAGGCGGTTGCAGACACAGAAGCGTTTGCCAGTGAATCGCATGCCACAATCAGGCTAACCAGTTTACTTTCAGATTGTTAAAAACCGAGCAGATAATTGCACCTTAGTGCCTGTGCACTCTCGGCAGACCCTATACAGGGGACAGAGTGATCACATTGTTTTAGCAACGATGTCACTGGGCTGGAGCCTCTGCCCCCTTTCCCGTATCACACACATCAGAGTCACCTTTGCTATAGACCAAGTTCATGTCTGAAAACATAGGAGGCAATTAAGTGAAGAGGCAACTTTCCTCTGTCCCCAGAGACCTCTTCAATGAAGCTTCCAGCTACCACTCCCAAATCAAATGGAGACTGACATTTGCTTTCGGTGGTCTAAAATTTCCTGTCGTTACCACCCGTGTAGAGGACAGGCAAGATTAAGAAAGAAAGATGATGATAGGACAAGAGGGTTAAAGTTTGGTGAATGAAGGGTGGGGAGAAGTGTGTCCACAGAGCAGCCCTCAGGCTTACTCTACTGCCACAGTAGTCAGCCCAAGGCCGTGCCAGCAGTGAGCAGACTGGGTTCCAGGGGAATCAACTGGCAATGAGACCCCAGTTGGGACGTTGGTTGGTTGGGTCAGTTGCCCAAACTATAAAATGAGGATGAGACAGCACCTCGAGAAGGATTTGGGAAAATAAGGCCACAAAATCCTGGGACACAGTGAAAAGACTGATTTTAGCCCCAGAGAGGAAAAATGATTGTGAGAGATGAAGCAACGAGAAAGGATCCAATGGCAATGACAGTAGCTTCCATTTGTGGGACACTTAGCGGCTGCCAGACACTGCACTGAGCACTCCACTCATTACTTAATTCTCAGAACAGTTCTGTCCGTTGGTAGGTATTATTATCCCATGTTACAGATCAGAGCTGAGCCTTAGAGTAGCTAAGTAATTGCCTGAGGTTACACTGTAAGTAAATGGTGCCATCAAGATAAACACCCCCATCACTGCCTGACTCAAAGCCCAGGTTCTCACCACTGAAGAATTTTCCAGATGTCAGAATTCTCTCTCCTCCTAAATCTAAAGTTTATAATGTCTGACTCTGCCCCCGGCACCTTGAAAATACAAAAGGCAATGAAAATATTTCATTGTAGCAATTTTGCAGAAGACAGGGTAGGGATCTTTTATGCCAGAGAAAAGCCTTTATCATCTGCATTGCAAGGACTTAGAAAATAGGAAGCAGAAATAAAAATAGCACAAACATTGGAAGTATAGTTGAGCAAGGCACTGTTTATTTTTAAATTGTTTTAAAAGTGCTATTTATTTATTTTAACTTTTGTTTTAGGTTCAGGAGCATGTGCAGGTTTGTTATATAGGTAAATTGCGTGTCATGGGGGTTTAGTGTAGGATTATTTCATCATCCATATCCAATAAGCATAGTATCTGATAGGTAGTTTTTCAATCCTCACCCTCCTCTCCTCCTCTACCTTCAAGTGGGCCCTGGTATCTTTTGTTCCCTTCTCTATGTTCACGTGTACTCAATATTTAGCTGTCACTTATAATTGAAAACATGCAGCATTTGGTTTTCTGTTCCTCTGTCAGTTCACTTAAGACAACGGCCTCCAGCTCCATCCATGTTGCTGCAAAGAACATGACAGCATTCGTTTTTATGGTTGTGTAGTATTCCATGGGAGACACTGAATAAGTGCCAAACTGAGGGCTGTCGCAGAAACTAAGACCTGTCTGCAATTATATGCAGGCTATCTGCTAAACATCCAGCATGGAATAGGGCCTATGTGGTTTCCTAGGCTTTCCTCATCAATCCACGCATAATTCTTCGTTTGTTAAATGTCCCATCTTCTCTGACACACAGACTGTATTTGCAGTACCTGTTTCCATAGCTGGCATAGAGTTGGTGTTCAGAATTTACTTGCAAAAAATGAAGGCATAGCATCCTTAAATACATGGGATGCTGTTTAAGTAGTTTTTAGGGGGAAATTCATAGCATGAAAGCCAATATTAGAAAGTCTCAAATCAGTGGCCTCCACTTCCACCTTAAGAAACTAGAGAAAGAAGTGCAAATTAAACCAAACTAAGCAGAAAGAAAGAAAATAATGATCAGAGCGGAAATAAGTGAAATAGAAAACAGAAAAACAATAGAGAAAATCAAATGAAACCAGACATTAGTTATTTGAGAAAAATCAGTAAAACTGATAAACTTCTAACCAGAATGATCAGGAAAAAAAAAAAGCAGGGGGACACAAATTACCAATATTTGGAATGAGAGATGTGACAATACTATAGATTCTGCAGGTATTAACGGGATAATAAAGAAATGCTGTGGACAACTTTATGCCAATAAATTCAGCAACTTACACGAAATGAAAAAGTTCTTTGAGACACAAACTATCAAAGTTCATGCTAAAAGAAACAGAGATCCTAAATAGTCCTGTATCTGTTAAAGAAATATACATCATAGTTTAAAAACTTTCCACAAAGAAAACACCACTCTGGTAAATCCTACTACACATTTAAGGGTATGTTTGCAGAGTGAATGAATGAACTGTGCCTCTAAAGACAACCAAAAAAATCAGAAAAGAACACACAGAAAAAGGGAGAAACTCCAAAAGAAACTCAGACAATCCCTGGGCCACATTTGGCTAAGGCTTCTACCAATGGCCTAATGAAGAAGGCTTGGTAGCTATTCCCAGAACCACTGCATAGTGAGGCATGAGTGTTCATGTGTGCACACTGTTAACAAGCTGTTCCTATATCATTACTTCCTCTCCACTAAATTTGTTCTTGTCTTTATGAAGTTCTGAATAAAAATCTTCAACTGTTAAGGAGAACCAGGTAGATCCAAATGATATGTTTATTCACCATTCATAGTACTCATTTAATCATTCAACAAGCATTTACTAATTACTGATTCACTATATAGCAGTATTAGAACTCTCTCCTAAGATCTGGAGATGAAAAGTATAATAAGACGTATTCCCTGCTTTAACAAGCTCCCAGTCTAGAGATATTTACAGATGATAAATTCAAATGGTTATCGTGCAGCAATTGGTGCTTGACAGAGCAATGCACCAAGTGCTGTGAAAACATAGAGAGTGGCTGGGTGTGGGGCTCACACCTGGAACCCTAGCACTTTGGGAGCTGAGGTGGGAAGATCGCTTAAGCTCAGGAGTTCAAGACCTGCCTGGGCAACATAGTGAGACCTTGTCTCCACAAAAAATTTAGAAATTAGCTGGGTGTGGTAGTGCATGCCTATAGTCCCAGCTACTTGGATGGCTGAGGTGGGAGGATCACTTAAGCCTGGCAGGTCGAGGCTGCAGTGAGCTATGATTGTACCACTATATTCCAGCCTGGGCAACAGAGCAAGACTTCATCTAAAATAAATAAATAAATGGAAAAGTCTCTGGAGAAAGTGATGCGTGGACTGGGTTTTGAAGTAGTAGAAGTCAGCTAGATGAAGACGAGGAGAAAAGCTTTTGAACAACACTTGTATTGACCTGGAGGCAGAAAAAGCACATCTACTTTGGGGAACCCCAAGCAGTGCATCAGGACTGCAGCAGAAGTGGGAGGCTGGAGAGGATGCTCAAGAAGCAGGCAGGAGGTTAATGATGCAAGACCAGGCTCTGGGAACACCGGCAGGAAGTATGGGCTTTGTCCTGAAGGGCATGGGGACCCAGTGAAGAAGGCAAGCCCAGGAGCGGGAGGATCAGACTTGGGTTTCAGATCTTCTAGCTGGTGAATAAACTGGAGAGAGGCCAGACTTGGGGCAGGGAGATGAGTTTTGAGAAATTTCCAGAAATTTAGATGATGAGAGTCCAAATCCAAGAGATGCAAGATTTCATCAGAGTAGGCAAGGACGAGCAGCACCCCCTGGAATAGTGACTAGACAGGGTACGTTCTTGTTTTTCTTTTGTTTTGTTTTGTTTGTTTGGAGATGCAGTCTCACTCTGTTGCCAAGCTGGAGTGCAGTGATGCGATCTTGGCTCACTGCAACCTCCTCCCAGGTTCAAGCGATTCTCCTGCCTCAGCCTCCCAAGTAGCTGTAGCTGGGACTATAGGTACGAATCTTCATGGCCAGCTAATTTTTGCATTTTTAGTAGAGATGGGGTTTCACCATGTTGGCCAGGACGGTCTCAATCTCTTCACCTTGTGATCCGACTGCCTCGGCCTCCCAAGGTGCTGGGATTACAGGCGTGAGCCACTGCACCTGGCCCAGGGCATGTTCTTATTTGTGTGTGCAGTGTGGCCTCCAACCTCCCACCCTTCCACAGCTCGGAAGAGGAAGCATGGGTCAGGTGACGAGTGATTTCTACATCTCACCTAATCCTCTCAGTAACTGTCTGAACACATGGGATCGGCCTCACAGATCGGGAATCAGGGACTCTGGAACTGCCTGACTCAGCAATGAGCAGGGCAGTGTTTTCTCCTTATGCCCTAAGGATTTTTGAATCTGCTTCACTTGCATCTCTATGAGTCCCTAGCTAGCGCCTTACTTCGCTGGTTAAATACAGCACCCCTTACCTTTGACTCACCTCATTGCCAGAAAGGTGGTACATCCTGGCTTCCTGGAGCAGTGGGAAGACCTCTGGACACTGTCTGATGAGAGGATCTGCTTCTACCGTCTCCACAAAGTACCAGGGGTCCAGAAGCGGTAAGCGCACGTTCTCAAGGATGTAGGGGAGTAAGCAGAGTCGTTCTGATGGCTTGTGCCGGACCCAGCTCATCACGGTCTCAAACACCTGAGCCTCCTCAGTCACATAAAGGTCATCACTCTTCAAGATGTGGTGCAGAGTGTCCACGGGTAGGTCAAGGAACTCCTCAGAGTTCAGAATCTGCACAAAGTTTTGAACAATGTAACTCTGAACCTGCTTCTTTAGAGTGTCCAATGAGTGTGTATCAGCCAGCCTCAGTATTCCAACACAGTTTTCTGGGTTCAAGGCTTCAGTGAGGAAGCTGGCACAGGCATCCACCATCCGCAGGAACTGATGGAATAGAAAGGGTGGAAAGGAGGCCAGAAAATGATGAGTCCACAAGAGGTTTATCAGTGAGTTGTGTGTAGTAGCCAAAAATTGGAAACAACATTTGTCCAACAGTACTGAAATACATGTAAAACATTCAGACAGTTGACAGCTCTATAGACACTTAAACACATGTTGTAGGAGAATATTAAACAAAATGGAAAATGTTTATAATGTATTGAGTTTTAAGATCTGTTCATTGGATCTGATTAAGCCTCTACATTATTCAGCAATTTATGGGAAATAGGCGGAAAGAGGAACCGGCTAAATGATGCCATGGGAACACCAGCAGCAAAATCCAGCCTGGAAAACTCGACACAACAACTTGCTCAGTTTCTTCAACAAAAACATTACAAGGGGAAAAAGAGAGAGAGAGGAGAAGGAGAACCTAAAGATAGAAAGAGATTTAAGACACGTCAACCAATTGCAAAGTACAGATTCTATTTGGATTCCTGATTTAAACTATATATATATACACACACACAATATATATTTTTTAAAGTTGGAGAAATGTATACAATGACTAATATTTGGTGATCATACAACAATTATTCATTTTAGGTACAATAATGGTTTCATGTTTATGTTTAAGAAGAATCCTTATTTTTTACAGATATAACAGAAATATTTGCAGATGAGAAAAACACTTTGCAAATCGTTACGTACATGAGGATTCTATTTCTATAAAGAAAACATATACAGAATAAAGTCATAGAAAAAAAGACTAAAGGATATAGGTTATCGGGTACCTTAAGGCAAATTATTCTGCAGTAGCAAACAACCCCCATGTCTCAGGGGCTTACAACAATAAATGCTTCTCTCTCACATGTAATACATTCACACAGTCAACAACGCCATAGATACTTAAAAAACATGTGGTAGGAGAATACTAAATGAAATGGAAAATGTTTATGATGTATTGAGTCTTAAAATCTGTTCATTGGATCTGATTAAACCTCTACATTTAATCAACAATTTATAGGAAATAAGGTAGAGGAACCCGCTAAACGACGCCATGGGAACCTGATCAGCAAAATCCAGACTGGAAAACACCATATATGTTCTTCCCAGGGCTCCTCATCCCAGGGCCCAGGAATGTGGAAAAGCCCTTACCTGAGGTATGCTGGTCTCATGACAGAAGGGGAAAAAAGATGGCAGAACCACACAAAGGCTTTTAATACTTCTGCTCAGATGGGGCGCATGCTAAATTCGTTTATGTAAAGCCATCCAGAGTAAGTCGCACGGCAAAATTTGTCATCAAGGGAACCACAGTTCTCCCAGAGAAACAGGTATCATGGGATATACAGGGAATATACTATATAGATAACAGAAGGTACAACACACTAATAAGACTATAAGAACTTTTCTAGTTTGGTTTATTTATATATTTTATTTATATACTCTGAGATGATGAATAAGTACCACTTTTGTCATTAAAAATTAATTTATAAGATTATTGATTGACTGTCAGATCCCATTTTTAAGTTATCAGCATTCTCTTAAAAATTCAAGTCCCAGCCAGGCATGGTGGCTCACGCCTGTAATCCCAGCACTTTGGGAGGCCGAGGTGGGCGGATCACAAGGTCAAGAGATCAAGACAATCTTGGTCAACACGGTGAAACCCCGTCTCTACTAAAAATACAAAAAAATTAGCTGGGCGTGGCGGCACACACCTGTAATGCCAGCTACTTGGGAGGCTGAGGCAGAAGAATCACTTGAACCCAGGAGGTGGAGGTTGCAGTGAGCCAAGACTGTGTCACTGCACTCCAGCCTGGTGACAGAGCAAGACTCTGTCTCAAACAAACAAACAAACAAACAAACAAACAAACAAAAACCAAGTCCCTTACACTTGTACAGCACTTTACAGATGACAAGCACTGTTATATGCATTGTAGTTTTTAATACCCATTTTACAGATGAGGTGTCTCCAATGCACTGGTTCATTCTTATTTGCTGTTCTCTGGAGCTTAGCTTTGGACCAGTTCAGTCTCCTAGCTCCCTTCCCTGTCGACTGGACCCCTTATAGGGTCAAGGTCGTGGTGCACATGGATTGATCGATTAATGGGAGGAGAGGACAAGGGAGGCTAAGGCGGCACGACCTGGTGGGGAGGCCTTCTGAAGGCCGGTTCTGGTGAGAGTATGGATGGCACAGACCTGACTGGGGAGGGATGGCACGAGCAGGGGGCAGTGGGGCTATGGAGCTTGAAGGCTGAGGGTGGGCGGGACTGGTTCTAAGAGTGGACCAAGGTGACCCAGGCTCTGGACTTTACTCCAGAGCATGCCAGGGAACACATCCCTGACTTTCTGGATCAATCTCTATTGCAAAATATTTTCTGTGTCAGACCACATAGAATTAACAGTTTAAAAAGCATTTCTCAGGCTGGGTGCAGTGGCTCATGCCTGTAATCCCAACTCTTTGGGAGGCCACAGGCAGATCACCTGAGGTCAGGAGTTCCAGCCTGACCAACCTGGAGAAACCCGTCTCTATGAAAAATACAAAAAATTAGCTGGGTGTGGTTGCAGGTGCCTGAAATCCCAGCTACTTGGGAGGCTGAGGCAGGAAAATGGCTTGAATCTGGGAGGTGGAAGTTGCGGTGGGCCAAGAGGGCACCATTCCACTCCAGCCTGGACGAAAAGAGCAAAACTCCATCTCAGAAATAAGTAAGTAAATAATAAAAGCATTTCTTTGAGGGTCAATGCAAAGTTGGAGAAGGCCTGAATTCTGCCTGAGAGTCCGTGTCTGCTGGTCTCGACCCCGGCAGCTCTGCTCTTCACATGAGCAACCACGGAAACGGTTGAGACTGAGGCTGCGAACACCTGCTTGGTCGTTAGCAGATTTTTCAGTTCAAAGAGTAAAAACATGCAAGCAAGACCAAGCCCCTTGAGCCCTCCGGACCGACGCCAGAGCCCTCTCTGGCCCTGTTCACAGAGACATCTACGCGAGCTGACAGGAAATTCACTTCAATGGTGGCCCCCAGTGCGAAATACCACGACCATCATGCCAGCGTTTGCATGAGGGAAAAACTAAACAGATATTTCTAGGTACTTAGACTGTCTCTGGGAGCACGCATAAGACCTGATAACAGTGACTGCCTCTGTTGGTGATAATGAAATGATTATTATTCATTTTAGGTGCAATAATGGTTTTATGTTTGTGTTTAAGAAGAATCCTTATCATTTAGACACATGACTGAAATATTTGTGGATAAAATGAGAAAAGCACTTCACAAATCATATGCACATGATGATCCTATTTTTATAAAAAATAGAATAAAGTCACAGAGGCCAGGCACAGTGGCTCACACCTGTAATTCTCATCCAATTTTCTCATTTATAGAGAGAATACTAGAAGGTAACATACAAAATGCTAGCAGTGGTTATAAAGTTTTTAATTGTTTGAGTTTATTGCATGACCAAGTTTACTATACTGAGCATGAGCATTGTAAACTCAGGGAAAAAATATGTAAAATATACACTTTATTGTGATTTTAAAGGACACAATGAAAAAATAAAAGGTAAAAACTAAGAGAGCACTAACTGTAGGCCAGACTACACGCTAAGAGTTACTCAATTCTCACCGCAACACCATGAAAGAGGAACTTCTTATCATCCCTGAGGGAGCCAGAGCCAGAGAACTAATGTCCTCAGAGACTTACAGTTAATCAAAGATAGAACTAAAGTTTGAACCAGTCATCTCTGATTCCAAAAAACGCGTTTTTTATATTATTTTTCAAGCTGCTTCAGGTCAAATAACGCGTGTGGTGGGCAAAGGCTTGCCAGGCCAAATGTGATTTGTACAGGTCACTGGGTAGCTCAGATGACCTGATCTCCCCCGACACAGAAAGGACAAGCCAATTCCTAGTCCTGCTTGATGGCTATTGATGAGCAGAGAAGGATACCACAGAGGAGAATCCAATCAAGTACCGAAGCTCGTGTTCGTCAGAAGCATTGACCTGAACTCATCTCTCTTCCCTCCACCTGTCAACCCACCCCTCCAGCCACCTGGGTATGGGCCAAATGTGAATCAAGCATGTGTATTTTTTCATTTTACTTCATGCTCTGGAATACACGTGCAGGCAGAACGTGCAGGTTTGTTACCTAGGTATACATGTGCCACGGTGGTCTGCTGCACCTATCAACCCATCATTTAGATTTTAAGTCCCACAGGTATTAGGTGATTGTCCTAATGCTCTCCCTCCCCTAGCCCCACACCCCTGGACAGGCCCTGGTGTGTGATGTTTCCCTCCCTGTGTCCATGAGTTCTCATGGACAAGTCCCACTTATGAGTGAGAACATGCGGTCTTTGGTTTTCTCTTCCTGTGTTAGTTTGCTGAGAATGATGGTTTCCAGCTTCATCCATGTCCCTGTAAAGGACATGAACTCATTCATTTTATGGCTGCGAGCATCTGTTAATATTATGCAGGTGGCTTCCCACTAGTGCTGAGAGTACAGAGGTGAGCAGAGCCAACGTGCCCGTGCTCACTGAAGCTGGCAGGCGAGTAGAGGCAGCAGATGCTCACCAAGTGATACCACACGGAGTGCAATGGAACAGCGGAGAAAAGGCCAGGCACGCAAGGCAGGGACTCCACCACCTGAAACCAGGGCAGTCCCACTCCCACCCTTCCATCTCCCACAGTCTGGCTGTCGGTCCTCACCAGGACTCTCCCTGACAGAACCCCAGCTACGTTCACACCCGTCTCCTCGCCTTCTCCAAGGAGTCCCGAAGCCACCCTGTTGCCGTGCGCTCCGGCACTCCTGCTGTCCCTCCGCCTGGCTGCCTTTCCCCATCGTCACCATCTGTTAACAATCCTGTGCCCCTCACCCAGACAAGTCCGACTCCAGAACCCAACTTTTAAAGGAAAGACTCAGGGTCGCCCACCTCATTTTCAACAGAGAAATCCTCACGCAAGTTGACCTCAAGAAAGAGGATGATGTGAATCTTACAGCCGTGACTCTATTTACAT